ATGGAAATAACCTCTTTTCCTTGCATTAACTGGGTTATTTTTTTCATGACCACTAGACCTTAGCTCTGCTCCTCATTTCTTTCCATACCCATCAAGGGCAAGAAATAGCCATACTTGGTCAATGAGAAAACGAAATAAAATGCAAATAGACACGTGACGACTAAATCCAACTTTCCCAAAGCTAGCATTTCCCTAAAGGCAGAGTTCCCAGGGTGAAGGAGGTGCAGCCACCACCATGTGCTGGGGCTGGGTGGTGGAGTGGGGGGCTCAGCCTGTCCATCGACCCCAACCCCACAGGCATCCTCAGCTGCCATCGGTCCCCGCTGCGGCCTTGGCTGCGGGTGCCATGACATGGCCCTGCTTCCCTCTCGCCTGGGAAAATCCCTGAATTCAAAGGCCGCCAGGCCCGGAAAGACGTGGAGAGGAGGAGACGCCGTCAAACACAGGCAGCGCTGCTGGGCTGGTTGTATCTCCTTGAGAAATCAGGCAAACCTGCCCAGTAATATTTCATTTCGAGGTCACAACAGATGGTATTTCCTTCATCAAGCAATTCTTTTCCCTGCGTTCATTATTCCTGACTTGGCTTGCACCTACAAAGCCAATTCCAAGGGCAACCGGTAAAGGCGTTGACTTGTGAAGGGACTTGCTCTGTAATTACAGCAAAACCAAGCAGGCACTGACCAACACATGAACCCATCCTGCATTAGAAGGACATCAAGATTGCCAACCCATGCACTCCAAAGGTGGGAAATGCTGAAATAAGCCAGTGAAGCCAGCCTGTCTTCCCAACACCAGCTTCCTCAGGCGCAGCAGCAGGATGGTGCAGATGGAGCAGGTCACCTGGTACTGTCCCATGGCTAGCTGCAGGAGTGCATGGCTAGCACTGAAATGGGGCCTTGGGACCCTGGCAAACATCCCTGGGGCTATCTGGGAATGTTGGGTGCTCTGCCACCCATCCCAGCCCTTCAAAAAGAAGCACTCGCCTCTGATTTGGCCTCAGCCAGATTTAAGCACTCGGAGCACACGGACCCAGCACAGCAGGACCCTGCACACAGCGAGGTCTTTGGGAAATACAGGGGACAGAGATGAGATCTGTACATGAAAGAGATAACAGAAAGTAGACAGCAAACACCAACCAACGTGTCAGTTCTCTGCAGTGATACCCACATCAGAGGCTTCACAGGTACACACAGCAAGGGGTTTCTCTTAAAGGATGCTAAAACCTGCAATCTGAAATCTCCTGTTTTTCATGATCACACAGTGTAGTTTGAAAACTTGCCCCAGTGCAGCTGAGAGCACAGCACCTTCTGGTTCTTGTTTCGCCACATTTTCCAAGGGAGCAGTTTTCTGCAAGGGCAGGATAAGGAAATCCAATACTTCTTTAGGAGCAAACCCAGGTCCCTGGGGCTTTGGTGGCCCCGGCAGCCAGCCCGGTCCCCCCGCAGTGCCCGGTGTGGCACAGCTCCTGCTGACTCACCGGGAACAGCTCCCGCCCAGAGCTTGGTTTCCATAAAAATAAAGCCAGCCCCAATAAATAAATGCATTCCCATAGTAAAAATGTGCTGGCTGCTGGGAAGGAGGAGCCTTCACCCCCAGCAGAACCATCTCCCTCGGGTGGGTGAAGGAGGAGCAGCTTGAGGGCAGGCAGGGCTGAGAAGGGAGGACAGGAGTAACAGCAGCACAGCAGGGCCTGCCGTGGCCACTGCTGTCGCCCTCATCGTGCCCAGAGGCTGGGGAGAAACAGGACACATCCATGAGTGGGATCTGGGAATCAGCTCAGCTCCCATGGAGCAGACCTGGGGGATACAGGAGCACTGAGAAGGGAGCCGAGAGGCTTTTGTAAGTGACACTAATGCCAGGTCCTGGGTGGGACACTGGGGTCACCGTGCTCACCCTGCTCATGCAGGACAAGGGTCAGAGATGCACCGACACCTAAAGGCACCAAACCTCAGAATAAAGCAGGAAAAGCCCTAATTAGTGAAGGCATTTCCCTGCATGGAAATCTCCATCAGCCTCTTGGTTTCAGTGATGCATTTAGCAGAAAATAAGGAGTAGGTCAAATTCTGGTGTGGACTGGTTTGTAATTTACTGACCTTTGCTGCTGTCCCGTTAGGGAAGCAGCAGTCCCTTGCTCAAAGGGAAGGAAGCACCGAATCCAGGTTTCTTTTGTCCTTGCTCTCTTACAGGGCTCCTTGTTCACAAAGCAAGCCCTTTTTCAGAACGTGGGATTTCCTGGCTTCCACACACCTGGAATTTTACAGCTCCTCAGCTGCAGCGTTTGAGCTTTGGCAGGGATCAGCTCATGGCCTGGCTGCCGGGAAGCAGATCCCTCCTGATGGGTACTCTAGCGGGGTGGCCCTAGTCTGCAGCCAAAAAAATCACCAAAAGCAGTGAAGAACACGAGAAAAACCCAAAGTCCTGAAGCAGAGCCCAGAGATGGGTCTCACAGGACAGGCAGAGAGGTTGGCAGAGTGTCTGCAGGAGCACAAAGGGCAAAGCACCCCAAGACCTCAGGTATACACCCTAACTTTGGGTCTGTTAATGACAGGGAGCACCAGAACCCCTAGCATGGAGCAACAGCTACCACAGACAGGCTGCAGTGTGTGCACTGCCCCAGGCTGCCTGCAGAGCCCGGATTACTCAGCTGGTTAAAAACCAGAAGCAGCTTTACACAGATGATACTTGGGCAGTCCCATGGAGCAGCAGTAGTGACAAAGCCATCGGGCTCTGGCACCATTCAGGCACTCGGCCCCAACCCAGCCCATAAACAGCCATGGGGCAGAGGTGGGGGATAGACCCACTGCTGGGAGCCCTCCTCATCCTCACCACTGCAAACCAACACCCTCATGGAGTGCTGACCACCAAGGGCAGAACACCACAGACCTGCCAAATCCCCGAGCACAGCCTTGTACTCATGAGTAAATGGGCACAGAGGGGCTGCAGTGACAACTATACATGCTGTTTAAAACGAATACAGTGAAGTCAGACCCTTCATTTCTCACTAAAAGATTGGATTCAAGATATTTGATTTCAATATTTGGGGTTATAGAGCATGGTATTATTCACCTCAAGACTCAGTTTTCAACCTTTAGCTCAACATGGACTGAAAACCTGTGTGTTCCTGTGCGTGTGAAAGTGACCACATCATCACTGCACTTGAGGAAAAGCACCAAATGCCACAACACAGTCAGAGCCAGAGGAGCTGCGGTGCTACCCTGGTCAGCACCGCTCCACCTCCCAGAGCTGTACAGGGCCCTTAACCGGCAGCAAGCAAATAGTCCCACTGCCAGGCTGCTCACTGACTTCCTTGGTAACAGCAAGATGCCTCTGCTCCCCCGAGGCTCACACAGCTTTAACTGATGTATTCTGATGGCTTTATGACTTCCTTTAAAAAGAAATTATTAGGAAGAGGCAATTCTTGGAATCTGAAAAACTGCGAATTTGGCAAACAATTCCTGTAAGGTCACAGCAAGAGTCAGGCTCACAAACCCTGCTATATTCGAAGTCACACCATTGGGTTTTCCCCCCTCAAAGGATAAACTAAAAACATCCTGTTGGGGGAATGGTATGTGACTGACTTCCAGAGCTTCAACCAACAGTATGGACATAAGAGATCAACGCATCTTGACTCAGGATATATGTAACACACAACATCAATTCAGAGGTGTCCTACCTGTTGGATGCTCTGTGAGCCACCACAACACTCCCTGAAGGTCTCACAGTGGGTAAGTCCACAGGCAGGGTATGGCACGGGCTGAGCCTCACACACTCAGTGCCAGTGGGACTGGGCTGGTTTGGTACTCGTGCAGCTCATGGGTTTAGTGGCAGGAATGGTGAGGAGAGAGGCAAAGCGGATGGATGAGAGCCAGAGCCTGTCCTCTGTGCACACGTGCTCACCGGCTGCCTGCTGTGTACTTACCTTTCTGCCCTGCAAGCTGCTCCAGGCAGGGCCCTGAGCCATTCCTGCATGCTGGCAGTGAGGGCTGCACCCCAGACCCCCCAAACCCACCCCCTGCTGCCAACCAAGCCACCAGGAATGAGTTTCACCATCTCCACCAGCACCCACCCTGGCACTTCCCCATCCTCATTCCTCAGTGGTCCTTCCACTGCTAACCAGGAGAAAGCAGCAGAAGCCTGCTCTCAAGGGACTGGGGGCTTCCACGGTTGAGTGGGAACTGGAAGTGTTTGGAGCCTGTGGGAGGACCGGAGGGGTGGGAAGGAAGGTCTCCTTTAACTGCAAAGGTCGCCACATCCAGCGAGGCCATAAACTGCTGTGGCGGGAGCAGCATTCCTCCAACGGGTCCATAGGGACGGGCAGGGGCGTGCCGAGGAGCGCTGCGGGGAGACTTGGCTTCGGCTTGCAAGGACTGCAATGGCCCTTGAAGATGGGAGCAGACCTTCACATGGGCGAGGAGGGGAGGGTCTGTGGGAAAATGCTCTCGGGCCCGGCAGAGCCGCGGCAGGAAGGAAATTCCCGCACCAGGGACGGCCATCGGCGCGAGGGCTCAGCTGTGGCGAGTTCAGGGGACTTCACAAATAACCCGGCCGTCCCCAGGGAGCCATTGCAAAGGTCGCTATTTTTTCCCTTGAACTTTCCAGCTGAAGGAAGCAATAGGCGAAGCAATGGCACGGATTTGGCCGGAGATCAACTGTACTGACAGCAGCCCCAGAATTTAACTCCGAAGAAAAGTCCTTTGTGCTCACTGGAGTTATCACCAGCTGGGCCGAGCGGCTTGGGCAGCAACGTGGAGTGCTGCTCGGAAAACATCCCACATGTGCAAGACCATCAGAGCCGAAGCTGGCCGGCAGATACAGCCCAGAGTAACTCATTGCACTGCTCAGACCAAGGGGAGAACGCAGGGCACACGCTAGGTGCCCATTAAAAATTTACATGTTAAACTGGACTCATCAACAAACTGCGGGGATTCAGAGTAAGAAACAGCCCTGATTAAAGATTAAAGACAGAGAGCGCATAAAACGCTAATTACCACTGTACTTACAGTGAATTTGGCCTGTTGGGTTTAATTACTTCTAGTTCGAGATCGCTTGAGTTGAGGCTGGGCTGGGGCGCGCTGTTGGAGTTGAGGAAGCTGTTTACGTTTGAAGAGATGACAGATTCCAGGCTGGAGTTGATGAGACTGTTCCTGTTCTCCTCTAAAAAAACATCAAAACCAAGAGCCATCAGCCAGCGCACACAGCTGCTCCTGCACACAGGAGTAAAGAGCACCCTGCTGCAAAGGCAGTGCTCCTGGTAGTAATCCCTGCCCTAATGCAAACAGGACAGCATCCTACCAGGTGTCAGAAGACAGGCAGTTAGGTTACTCAGATATTAAACATTAAACTGTAAGAAATACCAGGTATTCTTTTTATAAGAAGCAGCTCCATTTAAACGAATGCCATTTGTAGTTAAAAACCCCTCATTTTTTCTGAAGGCATTAGTATTTTATATTCCCCAAGACATCCAAAGTGCCACAAAACCTGAGAATAATTAAAATGCAAACTACAGCCAGGAATGGATTTTTCTGTGCCTGCAATCAGATGCCGAGGGACTGAGCATTTGTGTGACAGAGCACGGGAACACTTTAGGACATGAACTGGCAGAGGGTGCCCAGAGAAGCTGTGGCTGCCCCATCCCTGGCAGTGCTCAAGGCCAGGTTGGACACAGGGGCTTGGAGCAAGCTGCTCCAGTGGAAGGGGTCCCTGTCCGTGGCAGGGGTTGGAGCTGGAGGAGCTTTACGGTCCATTCCAACCCAAAACATTCCGTGATGCTATATGACCCCAATGTGCTGCTCTGCTGACAACCTGGAGGTTTCTTAGTTTCTTGTTTCCCCTTGTTCATATTCTGTTAAGAGATTTCCCCCTTATTTGTGTAACTTCAGCAGCAAAGAGTGACAATATCATGCATCCCAACACGCAGCATGGACTCCCCCCTCAGTTCTAAGACAAATTACCTAAAACCATATTAATTCATTTTCGTAAGATGTTTTTTCCATATAAACAGTAACTGTAATTGTGAGAAGCAATTATCATCACTGATGGCATGGAAAGCAGCCCTATTCCAGAAAACTGCTGCTTTTGCGATGATGTTTTCCTGAAAGACAGGCACCTGCTGGAGAACACAGCGACTCCTACTTCAATAATAAATGTTTAACAATCATTTTCCCAATGCACACTAATATGATTGAATTACTACCACCAAACACGGCCCTTCCCTGCTCCCCACGCTCACTCGCCTCCCCAAGGCAAAGCAGGGAGAGCCCCAAGCGCTCACTCTGCTCATCAGGTCCCTGTCCTGTTCTTTTAGCAAACAGGGACAGTTCCCTGTGCTGCTGGCCAGCTCCAGGAGCAGCACAAGGCATGGCCAGGACAACACAAGAGGTGGGAACTGGGTTGTAACATGAAGCAACAGCCTGAGCAGACACATTTCTGCCCCTCCATGAGTAGGGACAGGGCACTGACTCTTTCACCTAAATATGTGGAGCATCACTTAGTGACAGCGATGGAAAGATGATCTTCAACATTTTTAAACTGCTGCGCACATAATCCTTGGGAAAATGCAAAACCTCCTGGCCGAGATTTTGTGTCTGTAAAAGGCAAAGTGCCTGAGGGCATCCAAAAAGGGTCACCCCTTGGAGACGCAGGCGGGTGTCCTCCTGGCCACATGTGCTGCGGTAGCTGATGATGGTGAGGATGGGGCCGAGGAACATGAGAAGGGAATGAAAAGGGGCCCGTCAGGTGGGGCAGGGACAGCAACACTCTATACTGTGCTAATGCAGCCTCGTTTCAAGCCCCTGTTAAGGGCCTGGATGCCAGGCAATCTTCACACCCCTCATCAACACCACTGCCGAGGAAACTGAAGCCTGATCCTGTTACGGGAATCGCCTCTTCCCTTGACACCAGCACAATTGCATGGGAATGGCATGGGAATTACAGTGTGTTAGTCACGATTAGGGCAAAAGCTGCGTCAAGGGGGAAAGCTGGAGGCTCACTTACGCTGCTCATTGGGCTGAGCTGTGTGGAAGAGCGTCAGCGGGCGCTCGCTGCAGGAGGGAGGCTTCGAGTCCGTGCTCTTCTTGCGGGATAACAGCAGCTGCGAGTTCGATGGCGGCGTCTCTGGCACCGTGTTAAATATCTGTTAGAAACGATAAACAAGTTGTTCTTTGGCATCACTGCTCGCACAGCAGAGCTGCCTGCCTGCCCCGCTGCCCCGCAGAGCCGCGTCCGAGGGGGACATGCGTTCAACAGGGCAACGTTTTGAGTACCGCATCCCAAACTCCCCATTCCCACCCTGTCTGCACTCATTTTCTCTGTTCTTCACCCAAGATGGGTGTGGTGGGATGGGAACAACCCCAATCCTCTGGCCTGCTGCTGAGCTTTCAAGGGTGCCCTGGGCACACAAGCCGATGTGTCCCCACGCACGCCTCCCCGCAGCACCCTCGCACCCACCGATGCAGAACAGCTTGGGAAAGTCTTTGTGCCTCCAGCCCAGCTGTCAGACAAGTGAGAAATAGCGTTTTTTCTGCAGGGGATGGAGTTTTAAAACTGCACGAACCTCCAGAGCAGCAGCTTTGTTTGTTGGTGCTAGCTGGGTATTTGTTTCTCTTCTGGAAGCCCAGGCTCGGCCAGCAGCACTGCTGCCTCAAGACACGCTCTCTCCAGGTCTCCCTTCTCTAGAGTATATTCAATCCCGTCCCTCAGCATCTGTCCCTGCTCTGCCTTCTTCTGCCAGACACGCAACCAGCACTGCTAGGGGTTGCCCATATGAAAACTCTTCCATAGGCAGCCCGGTGTGGCTGAGCTCCGAGGTGTCTCCTCCAGAGCCAACAGCCATTGCTGCTGGCCATGGACTGCCCTGGCCTTGCCCAAAGCATCCAACGTGGGAGCGGCTGCCAGCATTTAATTGCTTTGTTTCATGTACCAACAGCAAAATCCTCTCTCACACACATAAAGCCTGCACGTTGATTTCTACAAATAAACACGAAAGAGCCAAGACATGTTAGCCAAAAACATTAATGTCGCATCTCTCCCCAGAAGCACAAGCGGCGGGTGTGAAGGGCAGCGCTTCCTGCTTCGGGGAGGAATTAAGGAACATTTCTCAGTGAATTAGCTAAGGACATCACTGCCCAACCTGTCTGTTTGCAGGGGCTCGGGTTCAGTTCTGAGCCCACAGATGGAGCGGGAGGCAGGAAGCAGGGATCAGTCACTGCGCCAGGCTCCTGCGCACAGCAGGACCCGGCCCCGAGCAAGGGAGCAGCTGAGCCCGAGTGCGCATCGCTGGGCACGCTGCGGAACAGATGGGTGGATTATGGACTCCTGCTGCAGCCCTTCCTGGAGAGCTCTGCTGAGCTCATTCACACATTCCTCCTGGGCTCATGGGTTAGCAGAGAGAGCAGCAGCCCAAGCCATGCTTTCTGCAGGCAGCGCTGCTCGTTTTCACCCTGCGCACACCTGCCTGCCGCCGTTCCCACCTCCAAAGTGGTTGTTTCCATGGCTCCCCATGGGAGTTTGGGGCTAGTGGCTCCCCAGCCTCTTGTATGGCTGCTGCATCCTGCTCTCTGCACCCCAACATTCCACCCCAGCATACCACCATCCCTCCCCAGCATCGGCAATGGCACTCAGGGCAGCTCACAGGTCCTGGTTAGAAGGGCTATTTATAGCACGTTGCTTACCATGCCAAACCACTACACAACTGCACATCCTCCAGGTGCCTGCCCCAGGTGCTCGGACCTGTGCCCTGAGCCCTTCCCTCTACAGGCCAAATACAGCTTCTCTGTGGCAGCATCCTCAGCACAGCAGCACCTCACCTGCCCTGTGCTCCATTCCCCATATCCAGCACAGCCGCAGATGCTTTAACATGCTCTGGCTTTCAAGTTGCTTTTCAATAGCAAATTCTACTTGGGAAATAAAACAAAATACATAAATCAAAGCATTGATTTATGAATCACATTTTATGCGATGATTTCCCAGAGCACACTTGAAAAGAAACTTCCAGGTTTTTGTTTCCTTTTTTTCTGGTCTTTAGAAAGGAAGATATATATGCTCTTAAATTATGAGCTCAGTGATTAAAACCAGCTTCAGCTTATAAGGAGGTTGCATTTCCAAATGCAGCTGGAACACCATTATCAAACAATTTTACTAGAATCACAGTGCCAACAGTGGGACGCAGCCACCTGATGAAGCAGAAACACCAGTGCTTATCCAGGATGGACTTCAACCAGGAATCTTCTGGGCATCCCAGTCCCGCTGTAGCATCTCCACTGAGATAAACCAGAGATGGAGAGCGGAAGCAGCACGGAGGCGCAGGCAGGGCTATTAAAAGCCGCTCTCTACCACCTCTGAGCAGCGCAGAGCACGCAGGCTAAATTTAGCCACTCACAATGGAGAAAAGTCAATTAAAAGCTACGTTTAAAAAGCACAGTGCTGGTTTTGAAGGTCTAAAGAGAGACCCCAAGGACTGTACAATGAAAAGCTCACTGTAGATGCGACTTTGCCTTTATTGTATAGCCCAGATCTCTTCAGCAGCAAAGGAAGCCAGCACTGCAGGACCAAACCCTCCTACTCCACCTCCCTCAGCTCAGGCACAATCCTCTCCTTTTCACAGGGAAGTTGCTCGGGTTTGTTCCATTCTTCAATTTAACAAGAATAGCCCAGACGTGCTCCTCTCTGTGTCACAGCGCTCCCAGTCCCAGAGCCCAATTAACAGGGAGGGAGAGACAGTTTAATAGCTGGAGTGGGAGAGCAGCAGCCAGGATCCATAGATCACATTTACAGTTGTACCGTGCCTGCTCCTCAGCCTGATGCAGGCAGCAATTCCACGGCTCCATAACACCTTATCCCTGTCTGCCAAATGGCAAAGACCCAGCAGCACCTTGTCAGTGATGGCTGTTAAAAGGCTTTTTTAACACTTCTGCCCATCTTATGACAACGAAGAAGAAAACAGGAGAGGTTGGTATCCTGCCCAAAGCAGAGGGATGGGATATAACAGCATATGAAGGTCCACCCCCAGTCCCTGCTCTGGCCAACAACTCGGTGTATTCCCATGCTCAAAACTGCATCTGGAGCTTGGAGAATAAGAAGTTGCTGTGACACTCAAAATGTTGGTGGCACCGAGTCCTACACAAGGACCAGCTAAAACTGCCAACAGCATCACTGAACATTCAGCTAATTACAGAGAATAAACTGAAGATGGGGTGCTGAGGGCTTTGATGTGTTAGTCCTCACCAAGCCTGATGCTTGGGGCTGTCTAATTCCCTACATAAACTACTTTCTTATTTGTCATCAATACTGGCTGCATTAGCATTTGACCTGATCAACCCTTTTTCTGGAGGGAGCATCATCAAGATAGTGAATTGATCTCTTAAACTGGTAACACTTCAGAACAATGGTCTTTTCCAGAGACCTATAAAAATGAAAGCTTTGGAAAAGAACCTGGATGGACACCTGCAATTGTCAGATGTAACAGTGCTTCAATATTACTTTCGGCAAACATTTAAGTCAGAAATACGGTGCTAAATTGCAATCATTCGAGTAACCAGGCTTTCAACACACTGGATGCACTCTTGGTTCACTTGTCATGGCCACATCCAGAACCATAGGAGAAAAATAATTTTATCCATTTAATTATATATCCAGGATATGATTTATAACACGTTACATTACCAGCACATTCATTCATAACCATAGGCAGAACAGGCTGATGGATAAATCTTGTTAAGTAGCAATTTGACATTTGGTTGGTTCCTTGGGTCACGTCGGGCAGCCGAGCCAGGCACGTTGCTCCTGCTCGGCTTTTCCAGGGTTCCTCTTTGCTGCACTGCAGCGTCTGGCAGGCAAATGGAGCTGCTGTTCCCTCCTTCTCAAGCTCTGATCCTACTCCCCATTTCCAGCAGATCTGGTGTTAGCACAACCCATGGGACATCACCCAGGGAGCAGCAGGTCCCCGTGGCTGCAATAGTAAGGGCAGACGCCAGTGCTGCAACACCTCGATGTGCAGAGACCTTCTCGAGGAGAATGTGCCTGAGAAGCTTTAACAACTGTTTCAGAGCCTGTTGCTGCTGTGAGTCTAACAAACAACTTGGATGCGGAGCCTGGAAAGCTGTTAAACCTCCAGAAATGATTGAACTTTCTGGATTACACACAGGGTTTAATGGTCCGTGTCAGAACCTCTGGCAACGCAGAGCACACCGTGATTTATCCATCATCCCGGGAACCTTCACAAAGCCCCTGTTTTGCTGACTATGATTCCAAACTGCACATGGCTACCAAGGTGCAGGGCGCACGCTAAGGCGGAGGCACCACCTTTGGGAGCACAGGGTCATACCCATCACTGAAGACACAGGATAATCAGCACCATATCCTGCAGCATCCTTCCCTGATACTTGTATGATTCCAGGATGAATGCTTTTCCCCAGCAATAATCTCAGGGGAAAGATGAGCCAGATCTCAGATGGGGTGACTGCAAATGCAGGCAGGCAAGCAGGGAACGCTGACTAACCCCCCCAAACCCTCCCACTGTCCCGGCAATCAGATAAACCTGCTGAAAGGATGGCGTAAACAGGCTGCCAGCAGTCATTCAGACCAAGAGATGTCATCACCAAGCTTGCTTTTTTCCCTGGTTACACAATGACAACAGTCACTTTGATGGGAGAGGCGTTCCACTTACCTGGGGGAAATATAATGTCAGACCAGACAGTCGCTGATTGCCAGGAACCATTCAAATCAATTACGTTTTCCCTGCGAATGTACTTAATTGTAAGCAGTGGCTCTGAGTCACCGGCGTAAAACAACATAAAGCACCAGCAGCACCAGCACAAGCAACTTGCTTATTGCTAATCACCCACGGCAGCTCCTGTGGGGAACCTTCCAGGAGCTCCAATCAATTCAAATTAAGAAATACACTAAAACAAAACAGTCCTGAACCGGCACTAACGCTGCATTTAACAGATTTTCCTCTCCTGGAGTGATGTCTTCCTATCTCCCTTCTTCCCAGGATCTTTTCCCGGGAGCCCTGGAGGGATGGGGACAGGGGTTCACAGGCCCCTCAGAATCAGCTGGGGACAAATGGATGTAACCAGCTCACAGATCCACCCTTGTGCCAGTGCCAGGAGTCACTTCTGAGGAGGGGGAAGCATGGAAGAGGCAGGGCACCCCGGGGCAGGAGCTGTAATGTGGCTGGTGAGCACAGAGCAGCCCTTCCAGACACAATCACTGCAGATCACGGCTGATGGAGGGCTCGGCTGGCACCGCGAGGGACCGGCGCAGGCAGGAAAACATCAGTGTCTAAAGACGTGTTTGTGTAAGGGCCCACGAGGGGAGGGCTCCATAAAGCACAGCGAAGGGGAGGGACAGCAAACACAGCGATGCTGTGCTGCCTGTGACACTGGTGGCACAGCAGAGACCTCATCCCACTGGGAGAGGTGGTGAACACCTCCCTGTGCCAACAAAGAGGTGACAGACACGGAGGTGACCATCAGAGGCCATTGTGAGGTTTCATGATGGTTCCTCCACCAGGACCAAGGCTGGGGAAGCTGGGCTCTGCTCACAACCACAGGTTTATCTGCACAGCTATGCAGATGAACTAAGCCATCGTTGCCATTACCTTCCATGCAGAGAAAAAGAGCCCCTGCATCCTAAACAAATACCATAGCCCCAGTGTGCCTGTGGAAGCAACTTCTCTAAGAACATACAACATGGACACTGTCCCCCTATCCCTGCTGGATGCACTCCTGATGCCCCTTTGCAGCCCCACACAGCCATGTCCTGGGTCTGCTGCCCACACCACAGGTACCACAGGTTCAACCTTGAACCTCAACCTGCCAGAAACACATTCACAGCATCTATAAGCACCATCCCACACCAGAGCCAGGGCCAAGCCTGCCTCTGCTTCTTTCTTCGCAGCCTGAATGTTCAAATTAGTTATTTCTGTCCATCGCAAACCACACAAACAAAAGAGCATGTTTGAATTTAAAAGAAAATGGCATTTTTATGTGATGTTGTTTGCATGTGGCCAGCCGGAGGGACAGCCTGTGCCACTGCCTCCCTGAGCTGCTCCTGCTGCAGACGTGAACATCCTTATGGCCAACTAACACTAATGCATCATAATTCAGGGGATCAACACTGTGCTGTGGAATAAACCTGGATTTAGTCAGAGAAGTAGGAATCCAGCCTAGGCGTGCACCTCACTCTAGTTTCTTTTAGTGCCCATCTCACTTAGAACTAAAGATAAATTCCTGTTAGACCATGGAAAAGCAAAGAAGTTGGGATTTCTGTAATGGAGACAGAGACATGCTGACTCACACTAAGATGACTATAAAAAAGGCTGGTTACCAGCCTGCTGGTTACACAACTACAGCCCAAGAGCCATCAGTTTTGGAGCCTCTACACCACATCCCAAGTTGTGTCCATCACTGATCCCCCTGGCACAACCCCACCTCCGGTGCCACTGGCCATGGGGGCCATGGGAGAGGGGCTGCAGTTTGTAAAGAGACAAATTCCTTTCCATACATCAACTGCACTGATGGAAGCAAGCGAAGCCGTTACCTTCTCATGGTTTTCTATTAAAATCTCAATCACGATGTTCTGAAATTTGATGTCCATAATGGCAGCGACTGTTTCCTCTTGAGGTCGGAGCAGCGTTGGCCCAAATACCACACCCAGATTAGCAACAGTCATCAGGTTCTGCTTGTGATTATTGGCAACTCTGAAAGAGACGAAGGAAAAGGTGACAGAAGTGATGCGGAGGGAAACCCCCTCCCTGCCTCCTGGCTGGCACAACCCTCACAACCCTGTTTACATCTATTACACTCCTGGTGAGCTCCTTGAAGGCTCAGCCATGTGGAAAAGTACAACCTTAACTAGTGTGTTACTAGAGACCTTTGAGCCTCAGTGAGTTGACTAATCCCATCAAACCCCAACACTACGCTGGCCACCGAGTCTCATGTTGCAAGCCACTCCCAAGAAAACATCTTGAATCATTAATGCTCAAAACTCCTCTGCAAACAAACTGTTGGACCTCTGACACACGCTGCTCTCCAACTGAACGAGTGACCTCATATGTTCCAAAACCCAGTTCCTTCTCACCCATTTAAGCTTTTGCCTGCACCAGAGGTCAGCCCCATCCAACCAAAACAGTCTGGAAGGCAAAGATGGGGCTGTACCCCTGCACTCATGTACACACACACATGCTCTTCCCCACCCCACTGGGGAATCCACCTGGCATGGGCACCCGCTGTCCCAGGGACCACTGACACTCGAGCCATCCTCCCTGTCATCTCCATCTATTTTTATGTTCCAAGTATCGCAGCCCAGCGGGAGCAGATCAGTTCAGCAAGGGAAAGAGCTCCTATAGAGGAGCTGGCACACTGCTGAAGTGCATTTGGGGGTCACTCTGAAGTAGCTCCGATGAGAGCCCTGGTCCCAGTGGTACAAAGCACCAGCAGTCCTAATAGAGCATGTCCCTTGCTCCAGCTCAGCCCCACTGCGATGGTGGGATATGGGGCACGCTGCCACATGGGATGCAGCCGGGACATCCCCAGGCTGGGTCCAACCATGAGTGCCAAGGACTTGGCTGCTCCGCTGCGACGTGCTGGAGCCCTGCAATGGCTGTGACACGCGTGTGGGTGACAGAGCAGGACCTGTGGTGGGAACCTAGAGCCCCATCTCAGAGACTGTTTCGTGTGGCTTTGTCCTGACCTCGCCAACCAGGAAGCCTGATGACTGCAGGCAGTTTCAGCCTAAGGGGGGGGGGGGTTAAATGCCTTTTCCCATTCCTCCTCCTCTCCCGTTTTCCCTGGACAAATGCAGCAGGTTAGCACAAAGCAAGGCTGAGACTCAGACCTTGCTGTATCGTCCCAACAATGCATTGCCATGAGCTTTTATTGATCTCAGGGCCAACACATCACTTATGTGCATGCTCAGCTTATTTCGGTGCAGTGTAAGCTAAGGCTGCCTTAAAAGAAAGGATGCATTCCATCCTTCTTCATCCAAACCTCACTTGAACCAGCAAAGAACTCTTCATTCCTCATCCCTATATTTGGCTCCTCAGGCATCAGGAGAGGACGTCATTACCAAGAGACGGCTCTTCAGCAACTTCAGCCCTATTTACTGCCCAGGCAAGAAGTCACATAGAATCATCATAGAATCACAGGCTGGGTTTGGGTTGAAGGGATCTTAAAGCTGCTCCAGCTCCAACCCCTGCCATGGGCAGGGACCCCTTCCACTGGAGCAGCTTGCTCCAAGCCCTTGTGTCCAACCTGGCCTTGAGCACTGCCAGGGATGGGGCAGCCACAGCTTCTCTGGGCACCCTGTGCCAGCGCCTCAGCACCCTCACAGGGAAGAGCTTCTTAGTGAGGAACATCCCTGGAGAATACCCAGAGCTGCCACCTCCACCAGGCCCGGGCTTGGGTTACATTTCGAAGGTGCCAAGGTCCTGCAAAGTCCCTTGGGAGCTTGTGGGACCTTCCCCATACCCGGAACTCCCCCCACTGTCAGTGAGCTCCAGATGTTTTATCACAGTGCCCGAGAAACCTCCCATGCCAGGGCACTGCAGCACCGCAGCCTATGGGCTGCCCCAGGGGAGGCTCCGCTTACAGAGGTGATACCTGAGGAGGAAGGAGCCCATACACAGCCTGGCAGAGCTGCTGCCACCTCCATCCCTGCTGCCCATCCCAGTGCACAGCCTCTCCCCACCCTCACCGAAAGCGAGAGCTGCACCCGCAGCGATGCCAGTGCCTGGCAGAGCTGGCAGCATAGAAGAAAACTCTCCTTAGGGGGACACAACCTCATGGAGCAGAGAAGGCAGCAGAAGAAGGCAGAAGAAGGCAGAAGAAGGCAGAAGAAGGCAGAAGAAGGCAGAAGAAGTCCAATAGGAAACAAATTCTCAGGAAAAAGCTTGCTTGCTTACAGGAAAATACCTCTACTTACAGATATGTTCATAAATTATAGATGTACCCCAGCCTCTTCCGTCACTCCAACCCACCTCCCTATCGAGACATTTACAAATGCCAATGACGTATTTACACTGCAGCAACACCTATATTTCAGACACATGTCCACATGCTGCTATGTGGATTCTGAAAAACGCAGCTGTAATTCAAACAGCTTTGAAAAGTAATAATAAAATAATATTTTAATGATCTTCCATGGTTAGAAAAACACTGTTCATTTATAAAAACCCAACCGAATTGATCCGAGTCTTACAAAATCAGGTCCCTCCATTTCTCATTACTGTTCCCATGTAATACATCACTCTACTAAATTACATTGTCACTGGTTCATTATGGGCAGGCAGCTGTGCACCATTCCCCTCATTATTTCAGATGAAGCTATTAAAGGGTTCCCAAGCAGGAACTGGCGTGCCCGAGGGATGCCCATGCACCCAGATGCAAGCCCTGGCCCTCACCTCCATCCCAAACCCTCCTTCCTGCATTGGCTTTGGCCCTGTAAAGCCCAGAAGACATTTTGTGCCAGTGCAAACCTGGCTCCTGTTGAGCTGAACTTGGTGGCACATGAACTTCTGATCCGTACCACGGGTACTGTTCCAGCTGCACACTTGAGAGCGCTCTGTTACCAAAGCTATGCGAAAAAACATGATTCACCTTTCACATCCTTCAAATTTCACATCCATTATCCACATGATAATTTACTATAAATTATACCTCTTCATCATCCTTTGCACTAGAAAATAATGGTGCAGTTTCTAAAGATGGGGTGTTCTCAATCCCAAAGTGTGCTTAATGTTGGTGCTTTTTGTCAGGCATTGTTAGCGCCATTCCTGAGCTGCCCTTTAGAAGGTTTCCAAGGATTCACTACATTTTCCTTTTAACCTGCTGTTTCTTTCTGGCCCTCAGTGCACTCTGAAAGCAATTGCACGAACATTAATTTAGATGGGTCCCTTTTCAGTCCTCTCTGCATCCCCTCTCTGCAGAACGCACTTTCAGCACAGGCAGGAGCTGGCAAGCAACAGCTAATGGAGAAATGTGCAGAACAACCTCTCAACTCCCACTTGGTGCTTACAGTGTTCCAGGCTATCACTGCCTTTTGCACTCTGGGCTGTTTGTCCTCCTCGTAACACCTGATGGATCCCACTTGTCTCTGGGATCAGCACTGGACAGACCCCGGAGCCCCTTGATGGAAGGACCCAGCAGAGCATCACCAATGAGCAGCCCTACACAGAGATTTGTTCTAAGACCCGACCCACTTGGTGCAAACCCAAGAAGCACCTTGGCTTCTGCAAGCCCCCAGCCAAAAGGAGGATGCCAGCTCCAGGGCAGGTCGTGTCCTGGGACATCCATAGGCAGACACTGCTCACTGTACATTCACTGTCAGAAAAACAAAGGAGAACAGGGGCAGGGTAAATCCATGTTGTGTGTTAAATCAGATTACACCTGGGTTGCTTGGATACTGTATAATCACCAGCACGGCCAAACATAATTTAATACAGAGTAATTGGTAGTCAGGCTTCAGTGCAGGGAAGCACAGAGGAACAGTAAATATTTCTCTGTTGCATGGGCTTGCAATCAGCACCCTGTAACAGAGGAGAAATGCAGCGGAGCTGGATGGGTGCTGCAGGCAGGGGAAGCACTGCACTGCCTCTGTATTTGATAGGTGTTAATATTAGAACCATAGACTGGTTGGGTTGGAAGGGACCTCAAAGCTCCTCCAGCTCCAACCCCTACCATGGGCAGGGACCCCTTCCACTGGAGCAGCTTGCTCCAAGCCCCTGTGTCCAACCTGGCCTTGAGCACTGCCAGGGATGGGGCAGCCACAGCTTCTCTGGGCACCCTGTGCCAGCGCCTCAGCACCCTCACAGGGAAGAGCTTCTGCCTAAGAGCTCAGCTCAGTCTCCCCTCAGGCAGGTTCAAGCCATTCCCCTTGGCCTGTCCCTACAGGCCCTTGTCCCGAGCCCCTCTCCATCTGGTATTTGTATATGTATTACATCTATATAAAATACACATACATAAGCCTCATAGTGCTGCCATTAGTTCAAATGTCTTCCTGATTCAGAGAAAACAAACAAACATCTGAAAGCGAACAAAGATAAAGTCTCAAGTGTTTCTATTTCCATGCCTGGGACAAACCTTTGAAAACAAAGTGCTTGTTACAGCTGGCCTAGCAAGACCTTATAGGACAGAAAATAATGCAGCTAATTCATACTGCTATGGGTAAAAAGACATTTCATGTCTGCCACCACCTTTAGAGCTTCTATTTAAAGTGAAAAGCCAATCATGCAGAGAGACAACAACCCCCAAAATTATGGAGGCTGCTCTTACAAATGAAAGGCTTGCACTTGCTCCCAGACATGAATGAAAGGTAAAGAGCAGAACACAGCACATGGGGTGACAGAGGCATCTGCGGATCCTGCATCCACTCAACGGTGGGAATCACAGAATGAACCCCAGACCGGTTCTGTTCGGAAGGGACCTTAAAGCTCAGCCAGTTCCAACCCCTACCAAGTGCTCACAACGAACATCGCGGCCGCAGGACGTTCACTCCTTGCACTGGGGGGAGGCTCAGCGAGGCTGCCGGGCTTCCTTCGAGTAAAACCCTGCACCCAGTGTCCTGCCCCATGCTCCCAGTTCCAGCCATTTCCCGTGGCAGGCACACAGCGCCGGCCGAGAGCGGAGCTCACAATTGGTGCCATTTACTGGATAAAACCTAATGAGTTCTGGGAAATGTTCCTGGGTGCATTCAAGTCATCCC